CAGGCTGGTAGAGTTCCAGCCTGCAAGGGGCTGCTTGGGGCTAATGGGAGCGGGAGGAAGGTGATCAGGCAGAGGGCACCACATGCACGTGGCTCCCAGGCAGCATGGACAGCAGCTCCCACAGCTCCCCACAAGCAAGGCTATGGGGGGGTGGGGAACAGACATGTCAGGAGGGCAGGGAGGCACAGGCAACACTGCCCACCACCCCACCTCCTCTCCAAGCTAAAGCCACAGTCTGAGGGGAGCGGCAGTGGCAGCTACACCATAGTGGTGGGGTACAGCCGTGCCCTGGCAACTGGCACCAGAAGGTGAGGGCAGCGCATCCCCTCCCTGCCCCCACCTTGTCTGTTACTCCCATGCTGCTGACAGCATGGCTGGCACAGGGGTTCTGGCAGCAGTAGCAGCAATGAGTCTCACTGCTCTACTCTGCCCTCCTGTGCCGAGTCCCACCTGCTGCAGCGCGAACACGACTCCTACCCATGCCAGTCCAGCCAGGCTGCAGCTGCACGCCTGCTGTTGGAGGACACATCTGAGGGGGCATATACCCACCACCAAGCCCTACACCCTCCCCCCATCCCACACACCCACCCCTTGCTCCACACACTGTAGGGCTTGGGCCTAGGGGTGGGGAGCAGTGGGTCAGGCATGAGGGGCACCAGCAGGGCCAGGAGATGTTTTCTACCTTAACTGGCCATCGATGTTTACAAATGGGTCCTGGTACAAAAAAGGTTGAGAAACACTGGTCTAAAACTGGTATCAGCTGATTAAGTATATAGATACTGCCCATAAAATGCTGAAAATTTTTGCTTTACTGAGTATTTCAGATTTATTTTTCCACCTGATGAAATTTCATTCTTACTAATCATACTCTATTATTCAGCAACAAAATCATAAATCACATATGTAAACCTGTTATTACCAGTCATATAAATTAGGATATTGCTCTTGTCATCAGAAAGAAGACGCTTGGATCGAGGTGTGATTGGTGGGATTCTTCCTGTTAATACACGCAAGAAGTTCTCAACAGTAACCTACAAATGTAAAACGGAAATAATTTCTAACTATCATCAAGGATATATGTAACACTCCTACATGGAGGTTCCATAAAATAATAGCCCCCAAAAATACATGCTACAACTAATAAAGTGCACTAAAAAATGGCGTAACTTGCATTACCATGTTTTCCTGCTCAAGGTTTTATTGCATTATTACTATTACCCTATTAAGATGAACCTGTTACTTGATATAATTGTTTTCAAAGTTAATAAAACACACATCTATAGCCTCTCTAATCCTCTAAACACATATTCAGTGATTTGAACACCTGTCACACTGTACAGCTTTGCTCTATAAAACTACTTATATATTCATAAAATCCCCCATATTAGTATGTTACCATGGACAACTTATTAATAAATATGACAAAGCTTCAATATCCTCTACAACAGAGGCAAGAAAACCATTCCTGTGGCACAGGCTTTTAAATGATCAGATGTGGTCCATCTGCACAGCAATCATAAACCATTCCATAAATCATCGGAACCACTTGTTCCGAATGTAGATTTGAAAAAGCTCAAAAACTCTAGCAATGAATTCAGATTCATGACAACTATCATGATAACATAAAGAACCTAATCTTTGCACTTCTGCTTTATACACTCATAACCGTATTAAAAATAAGTCAGAATTCAACACTATCTAGTGTAAACTCTAGTCATTAAATTAGGCATGGTTTTCTGACATATATTATATGAGAATATTTTTGCTTTATCAATCATTTTATTTTGTACCACTACTTAAAATCCCAGGAACTGCAATCTAAGCAAAGACATGCTAGGAAACAGAGAGAGAAAAAAGATTGCCTCAAGTAGTACTTTCTGAAAATAAGAATGGAGTGAAATGTAGCATATATTTCCCTTCAACAGTAATTTTAAAGTAAGTAGTAAATGATTACTTGCAGAAATGTATGCTTTAAATTTTGAAAAGAATAAACATTTACATTAGACCCTGATTGCACACATAGCCATGCTTAATCTAAAGCCGGAGAATAACTCCACTGAATTAAACTGAATGGATCATGTTCTTGAACACACATGTATGTTTTTGCAAGACTGGATAATGAGCTTGTCATTTTGCTTAAAGACTGTGGATGGCGATTTAACAATATTTTCATATTATAAACATATAGAAGATCCTTAATATACAGCAGAAGATCCTTCTATAGTAGAAGAACACATCCTTTAAAATAAACTAGTGTTTTAATAATAGTTTTATAATTTAGAAAGATGCATAGGGTTAGAATGAAACTTAGTTTTTTCATTAAAAATCAATTGATAATTTTTATATACACACGTATATTGATAATTATTAAGGGGCTAATGCAAAGGTCCATAAGAAGAATTGAGACTTAGATAAGATCTTAAACCAACATTACAGACAAATGTTGGGTTTGTCAAATGAAGCACTGTGACCTCATAGCTTCTGTAATCCACTTCCACATCATCTCCATAGACGTTTAGCTCCATGTTTTTGTGGCTAAATACAGTTGCTGGCTTAGGGTTCCGGGAGTTACATGCCATATCATCTGCTAGCATCAGGACGATGTGACTGGGAAAAATAAAAAACGTTTCAGAAGGAAAGCTGTAGGCAATATTGATCCATTATGAAAACAAAATTCTAAAAAAGAAAGAAAACTGTATTGGTTATAAGAGATGTCTTTCCCTGTTTGGTGTCCACCACCACAACAAAGCTACCAAATAAACATACAACGTATGTTACAATATTTTTCTTTGGTTAACGTCAGCAAAGTGACCAATGCTATCCAAATGGAACTGCTGCTGCTCCAAAAACTCTAGTCCAGTTTAGAGGACTAGAATTTAGTAGGACTCCCTTTCAGGAACTGGGCGTTAGTAAATACGAGACAGAATATGGGTTGCACTAGGGAAAAAAAAGAACAGTAAATTGCCTTAATGAGGATTTTCTTTATTTACACTACCCTATTCCAATATAAAGCCTTCTTATTGGTATTGAAAACAGAAGGTTTTAAAAGTGACTATGGAAAAGACAGATGGGCAAATATACTTCTCATTTACTTAGATAAGTGCATAAACTGTACGTACACAGAATTTGTCAAACAACAATACAAGACATTAGGTTAAAGGATCATTATTAGGCCTACCATCTGGTACCAGGGTTTGGAAGACTCAGTAATGCTCTATCAAAAAGACATATAGAAATGAGTAATTACATAATACTGGGGGAAAACTTTTCCACACATAGACTTTGAATAGAGGTAAATGTTAAATTACTATGCATATTTACCACTATGTGTGAGATTTAAAAATATATGCAAAATATGTATCCACATGCAAAAATGTGTCACCGTATACAAATTTCACCTAAATTGCTGCCACTGTCATCCTCTTAGAGGAATGCCATGTTGCCCCCAATTCACTGGGAAAGAATTGGATGAGGCCAAGCTTTCTGCAGTGCTAAGAACCCTGTGTAATGTTCCCAGAAGTCACAGCACCACGGGGCTGGAATGTCCTTCAGAAGTTCATCCAGTCCAGTTTCACTCTCAAAGCAGGAACATCCCTAAATTATCCCAGGCAAAAGTTTGTCTAACCTGTACTTAAAAACTTAGTGATGGAGATTCTACAGCCTCCATAGGAAATCTGTCCCAGTACTTAACCACCCACATAACTAGAAAGTTTCTCCAACTAACCAAATGCAAAAGTTCCTTTTGTTCATTTACACATACGGAAACAGGATTGGGGGCAGAGCCTAGGGCGCCATCCCTTTCAGAGCAGCGTCCAGTTAGCAGTCAGATGGCCTGCATGTATGCAAAGCACTTGTCTGCACACAACCACTTGTATATTATTTTATAGTGTACACTCATTCAAGCTAGGCTAGCTGAAGAGCAGTAACTCAAGTGTAGGTATTTTGAGTTAACTCTGCAGTAACCATGTATCTTAAATATGATACAAGGTGCTACACTCTGAACAGGAACCAAACTTACCCCTCCCAGCATTTGTCATACAACTGATGCACTGTAAACCTTAACTAAAACATCCCCTCTCCTCCTCCAAGCCCAGGGCCTTCTGACTCCTGATCCAATATCTATCCACTGAAAAGGTTTCAAACACTCAAGTCCACTATTAATGCCATAGGACTTTTCAAAACAGCAGCAATATTTAAAACAATTTTTCTCTCTATGCCCAATCCAATGGGCACAGCAAGCTTTACAATACAAAGAACAGTGATAAATGTGATAATATTGCCTTCTTACAGGCAATATTATTCATTGGGTAAACCAGCACAGGTGTAGACATGGTGGATATTTTCCTTTATTTAAAAAAAAAAAAATGTACACACACACACCTTTGTATTAAGCTTGACTAAGCACACTGTTTACATAATACAACTTGGACCAAAATAAACCATCTATCATACACAAATAAAGAATTTAAAGCCTCCTCTACCAGCAAAGACCCACAGAAGTGGCACAACAAACCTAGGAAACTTCCACAGCATTAGAGAAAAGGGAGATATCAGAGGTTCCCAAGGAAAACTGTCAAATATTCTACCCTGTCCATGGGGATACCAAATTCAATTTTACAAAGAGACACGCTCCAGCCTGAGAACAGCATAGCTATCCCACCAAGCCACATTACCATCAGCCACATCAGCTACAGCAGTACCTCTAAAAAAGCATGTAGCAAGGGGTAATGCTAGAAGTCACATTGCTCTCATTGCTTTGTTTTCCTTATGGCATTTTCTCCTGCTCCTAAAAGGAGTGTTCTTCATTAAGCAGGTGTTTCCTACATGCCTCCCCTGACCTACAGATCCTGAATTTAGCATAAATGCTCCCTGGACCCTTTATAAGCCTGGAGAAGCAGACGCCCATTCTTTGTTTCTTCTGCTTTGGGGCTTTTTCCTAAATAAACAAGAATTATTCTTCCTGCATGAAGCTTTGGCAAAGCAAGAAATAAAAAGGGCAGTGATCTGTTGCTTTCTACAGACCTGAAATATGCACGGCAACAGATTAAGGCTACTTATGCAGAACCATCCAACATTAGACAGCTATTCCAGGCAACAGACCAATATCAGACAGCCTGTTTTGATACAAAGCATGGGTAAGATATGAAAAGGTTTCCCGAACAATTAGTTTGTGTGAAAAATCAATGTACACCTAGGATTCTTTCATCCTTCTCCAACTTTGTCTGGTTTCCTCTACAGAAATTTTAAAAAAATGTATGCTTGCCCAGGCTGGCCTATTTCTAGTCACACCAAGTAGAAACAGCATGGAAATTTAATTCTAGATTCCTTTATCTTATTCTTGACAAGCATAAAGAATATTTGTATTTTCAAGAAATTATAATATAGTATAACCAGTTCCCAAGTGAAGTCAGAGACTTATGCATTGGCTTAATGGAGTTGGACCTCAACTAAAACTCTGAAAAAATTATACATAACAAGCAGGTAGAATACGAAAGATTTTGAGCTTTATAAAGATAATGTCTTCCACTAAAAAGCAGCTCTTGCTGTTAAACCTTAAGTAGAGATATGATATTTGTAATGTAGAGTGACAAGTAGCTAGGTGGAGCCAATAGTAAGTGAAGCCAACATTATGTTTCCTCAACCATAAGCTGTGATAAAAGAAAGTCTTATTCTCCACTGTTTTTACACCATAAGTAACTAACAGTGCCTGTCAGTTATCCTGTCATTAAAATATCACTCCTAGTGCCCTCCCTCCCAC